AGTGCTCCTATTTCGCAATAAGAACGAATTATTTATCAAAAAGTAATCAAGAACTATCACCTAGAGGGTATCCTGGGACACACTTAGGCTCAAGCTGTAAGAGAAAATTCCAATTAGTAAAGAAATTAATTTGAAAAATTACCTTGTTCCTTTGTTAAAATTGTGGAATTATTCCATTGACTTTTATGGCAATTATCAAATGCATGTTGACAAATGTGTGATTTATGATATTCTCTGTTTTTTATGTATGATTGGTGTTCCTATATAAAATTTATTGCATTCGTAAGGAATTATATAAATTACATTTTTTATATTTTCAATTATATCATGAGGTTTTGTTACTGAAATTTTCTAATTGTATTTTCAGTTTTGAAGATAGTCCTAATATTAAAATTTTTTTATTGTATTATTTTTTTTTTCTTGTATATTATTTGTTTCAAAATTATTATCGTGATATTGATAGTATACAGATGGTACAAAATATTCTCATTTTTATGTACATATATAAACAACTTTTTTTCTAATGGAACAACACCCTATATGTTATTTTTGAATTCTTATGTAGGTACTTAGAACAAAAATTGAAGAGTTTTTTAGTTATTCGGCATTAAGGATGAAAATTCTAATTTTCATGGTGTTGATAATTCGACAATTTCTCCGTCGTCTTTATACACAAATTTTGCAAAACTTGGCTGGCTATTAATATTTGGTATGCAAGACCTACAGGGCGATCATAATATTAATTCAATTTAACAAGATTTTCAGACTTAAAAATCTCACTTCTTTAAATGGCACACCCCCTATATAAGGGCTCGGCGCAACAATCGCACACGACAATGTTGAAGTTGTGCCGAGCCTTTCGGGCACGACACTGGTACGGACCAAAAATTTGCAAAAGATCCATTTTTAGACGTTTTTTCTGCAGTTAATGAGATTAAAATCTTCTACAACATTCAATAAACGCCTATTTGCGACATTGTGACTAGAAGCGCGGATTTCTTGACGCATCAAGCAGGTAGAATTTTTTCGTTTAACCCTTCATTTTAAATTCATAGCGGCTTTGCCGAATCTTAGCAATAGTCCAAGAGCAAATTATTAAAATCAATTTATTAAAAAGTTGAAATTTTTCTTGCAGTAATTTTCATTTCCTGTTTTTCAAGTTTTTGTATGTTTTGGGAAGATTGTTGAATGATGGTTCACATATAGAAAGTTATTATGTTATACTTTGTAGTTATAATTGTTGTTATAATTAAGTTGTTCATATAATTTTTTTTGATAAAGCCTGAGGTTTTTTATTTTAAAGTAAAAAAATTTGAGTGACAGCGCCTCTTGAAGTAGTACAAATTAAAATTTTTAAACCGAAAACACGAAGGAGTGGAGAAAGAAAGGAGGAGAAAACACCGAAAAGTGGAGGAGTAAAAAAGTGTGTCTTTTCTAAAGAAGAATCTACGGTTGCAATGCTTATTTAGGTATCTGAAATGAATGTGGAATATACAGGGTGTCCCGTAAGCAGAAGACCAAAAAGGTACTGCGAAGACGATCTGACTATCAAAAGAAGACGATCTGACCTAACTTTTATTAACAAAAAATGTCTGGCTCCTCTGCTATTGATGGTCAAAGTTCTTTAAAAAAATTATCTTTTTTGAAATATCGAGAGAATGGTACGATGTATTTTGGTGAAACTCGCTGTGAATTTGTTCTTATGTAAGACTCATATTTTGATGATACAATCGAGTTCAGCCGTTTTGGACAAGTGGTGAATTCTTGAGTGTCGTGGTACAAAAACTACCGGAACTTTTTATTTGGTGGAGGAAATCAGCTCATTTTTTTTTTGTTGATGCACTAATCATTTATTCACAATTTTGTGTTCTTTGTAAAATCTTGTAGCATTCATAGTTTTTGCGCAATTTTCAATTGTTTTCAGTCTCACATAGTCTTTCAAGTCATAGTTAAGGTTCGGTTACAACTGAAATCTATTGTTTGTATTAATTTGGAAATAAATTGTTTTTAAAAAGCAAACTTTCAAATTAATCAATAAAATTACAAGTTGAAGTTGTAGTAYAACTCTTTACGAATAAAATAGACCTTCAGARAAGTCTAAAAAAAAACTTATTTAGAATCTGGCAAGAGCCTTTTTGTAATAACAAATAGGAATGAAC